GCAAAGTGTGAGACCATGTTTAAAGCTATGTACTAAAACAGGGCCTCTCAAACACTAATGGGTGCATGAATCACCAGGGGATCTTGTTAAAAGGCAGATGGTGATTTCACAGACCTTCTGAGTTTCTCATCTCTAACAAGCCCCCAGGTGAGGCCCAAGCTGCAAGTCATGGACCCAGTGCCTGAAAGAGGCCAGTGATGGATCTCAAGCGCCATTCTTAACTCTATGCTCACTTAAAAAAAAATTTGACAAACTGTGGTTGCATTAATTTATCAGAAGAAAGTTTATATGAGCAAAGCACATTTATAATCAAGAACCTTCCAGATCAAGTGCTAGTCCAGTCCTCTGACTGGTTGACAACCAGAAGAAAAATCTCTTTTCCAAGGACTAGTGCCCCAGGATGGTCAGAAGCTACCTCATGACAGACCTAACTGCTCAGCAAGAACAGTTCATGTCCAGGAGCTATAGGATAAAAGAAGAGGAAGCAATAAAAACATGAGTAGCCATTTATGGAGAGCTTACATCAGATCACACAGTCAGAGGCAGAACCGCGAGGCAAACCTACCCTAACTCCTAAGCCCGCGCTTCCAACCACCAAGCTGTTCGGTAGCAGGTCAGGCATGGCAGAGATGAAATGATGCACTAGGAGGGCACTTCCAGTTGCACCACTGCCCATGAATATGTGCCCCTGCGCTGATCCCCTCTCACCGTCTTGATTTTTGAATATGGGCTCACAATAGTACAAATATGCCATTTGGGTTTTCTGAGAATTAAGTAAAAGAGGCTAAAACAAGCACTTAGAACAGCATCTGCTTTAACAGCACATAAATTTTTCAAAGTTTTCCTGTTATTATGATTAAGAAAACTTGGGGTTGCAGATAGAGCACAGTGGTAGAGCACTTGTCTATCATTCTTGAGATCTACCCCAGCAACATACAAAAAAATTAAAAAATAAAATAACAAAAAAAGAAAGACAAAAAACTTTATCATTGAAGCTAGGACATGGAGCAGAACTAAGGACAGAATGAGATAGGGAGTTGTTTTTTCGTTTTGTTTTTTTTTTTTTTTTTTAATCTGTGGCCAAATGGTGAACCTACAAGAGCTAAAAGAAAAGGACCTTCCTTTTATCATGGCCATACAGCTAAAAGAAGCAGAATCCCTTGGCCAGGGATATAGCTCAGTAGCATAGCACTTGCCTGACAAGCATGTGGTTATGAGTTCAATTTCCGGTACCCAGAATAAAAAAAAAAAAAAAAAGACAAGGTATCCACTAAATTGGAATCAGGATGATGGAAAAACTGGCCCTGTATGAATAAGGGCACAAACAGCCTCATAGTATGTTATGGCTTGTATCAACACGTCCCCTCAAAGCCTCATGTGCTCCGAGATGAGGCTTTGGGAGTGACTGGACCATGAGTGTGTGATAGTTACTGGTTTAGTCCACTGATTGGTGCAGCGCAGTTCTGGGTATAAGTGATGGATTTACTGAAGAGGGAAGATCCACTCTGGGTATGGGTGGCATCAACCAGTATCTTGTAGCTTGGGTATAATAAAACAAAAAAGAAGAAAGCAGGCTCACTGCTTCCTGCCTGCCCATGCTGCCATGGCACCCTTCGTTAGAGCCAGCCGGCTATGGACTGAAACTTCTACACACTGTAAGCTAAAATACTATAAACGTTTCCTCATGTAACCTGTGAGTATCCCAGCAATGAGAAAAGTAACTAAGATAAGGCGGAAGGTAGTATACTGTAGGTGATCCACAGTGTACTCGATCTCTACAGTTAACTCAGAAATTCAGCCCCTCCAAGAGCACGCAATGAGGCATGTTAGGACTGCCAATGCATCATATCTTGGCTGAAAGTACAAGGAAAGAGCAGTGCCCATGACCAGTTAGGAGGCTCAAAGCCTTGAATCCAACAGGCTCCATCTTTGAAGAAAAAAAAAAAACCCTTATTATTGGTTGAAAACGAGGAAGGTCAGAAGCTGGCCAGACACTTGTGCTCCGGGTTTTACAGATGTGCTTACTCAGCAACACACCAACTGAGTGCTACCCACTCTGGATCGATCTGGGAAGACAGAGCTGCTGGGACAAAGTGGCTCCTCTTGCACTGGTCAACACTCCCCAACTGCCTGTAAGCAGAAATACAACTCGCACTAGCCAGAGTTTACAAAACTCCTGCTATTTCAATCAAGTTTAGAGGCACAAACCTTGGATGAGTTAAGGTTTTGCCGTGAGAAAACAGAAATAAAGATACAGCACTGCATTTCTACATCAGAGCTGGTTTTCTCCCACTGCAAATATAAAATTGTGGCACGCATCCTGCTTGGAAAGCTGATCTATGAAAATTACTCCTTGTAACCTCCTGTACAGGAGATCTTACCAACTTCACGCCAGTGTCTTTCTCTTCTTTTTCCTTACTCGCCAAACTCCAATTTTATCAAGGCCACAACATACCCAACCTAAAAAGGACAATGACCAGCTTCCCATGCAATATGAAATGGTCAGTTCTGACAAGAACAGTGGAGGCCACTCCATCTGACAGAGCTTCTCACAGAACTAATTAAAAGAGAAGGCTTGGCTGCCACCACTCTCCTGTCCTCTACGGTCTTCCATCATCTAAACAGAATGCAACACTGGGGTAGAGCAGCCATTTCATATCAAGGCCGATAGGATGCACATCGCATGTTTTGCCAGATACTAGGAATGATAGATCCGAATGACAGGAGTTATCCAGTCCTCCACTATCTGTCCTGATTCCTTTTCAAAAGAAAACTCAAACTACAATTTGGTTAATCCCAAGGGTTTTCCATTACGTGTGACTGAGTCCACATGTTGTAAAAGATCATTTATTCTACAAAGCTTTTACTGACTTATCTGGCTAAGTGCCATGAACTATGAATTAATTTGATTATAAATGATTTTGTGGCACACACAGAATATGAGGAAAAAGATATACATGCAATGATGTGTCTCCATGAAAGATAAAATCTGGAAGGTCTGTATATAATGCTGAAGATTCTCAGGGTAGTCCAGGCATGGCCTGAGAAGTGAGCCTGACATGAAACCTAACCACTTGGGGTCAAATGATACTCTACTGCTTGCCAGCTGGGTGACAATGGTCGAGGTACTCGACCTCTCTGTGCCTCAATTTACTTAACTGCAAACTGTAAATAACATCTCCTATCTCAAAGGGTAGTTACGTATATTATTTGTATAATGCTCAGGGTCTCAAGATACACTGAAAATATTTACGTCTGTTAACATTATGGTAAAACTGGTGACTGTAGCTAAAGACTAATCACAAGAGCCAGAGAAATGAATCCACCCTGCACACAGCAACTTTTCCAATACATGAATCTGTCTTATAACATCAACATGAGCTCAGGCTAGAGACGTGGTCAGGTTCCATTAATTTTTAACCTCAGGCTTCCTACAAATCATTTTAAATCTCAAGCTCATAATTACTGTACACATATTCATGCAACACCAAGAGTGGAAAATCTACATGAAGAGCTGTTTATCATGGGGATGTATTTATAAAACGGGGTTGGGTAGAAACTAGCAAAGACTGCCAAAAATAGCCCTATAAGCTAATGGGCCTGCATAAGTCAATAGTTAAATAAAAGTCAATACCTGTACATTATGACGATGAGAAATTTTTAAGTAATATGTTATGCAATCTGGAAGAATACAGCCTCTTGTTATCTAAGAGTTAGCCATACATTTGCTCCTTTTATCTGTTTTTAGATTTTTCACACAGAAAGTCTCTTTCTAAGAAGCTGTGAGAGTCCAAAGGGCAATGGCATTTTGTGTGAAGCTGCCAAGCACTAGCCACAGGGAAGAAATCTACTATCAAAGGTACTGAGGCAACCATACTTGCTTCTTCAGGTCCACAGAAAACTTTTCCTAGATGAAAGTCATCTCAACTAAGCCACAACATTGAAGAAACTGGATACTAAAAACATGTTTTAATTTACTCTTCTTTTAAATGTTAAACAAATATAACAGGATGTGAATTTACACTTTCCTTCTCCCAATCCCAAGAGGGACCCAAAAAAAGACACAAATCTGGAGGGTGTGAAGATCTCACTCCATAATCTTCCTAATGCGCCTGTCACCATCTTTCTGGTTGTACATTATCAGCAGACCAGCAGAGCCTTGGAAAAGCCAAGGAGTGGAAGATGCAGTAACCTTTCCTTACGACACATAGTACTGTCCAGCACAACTAGAACAGAAGCTACAAAGTGACCGCTATGCAACTACAAACTTTTAGGGGCCATATTTAGAAGGGAAAAAGGAATAGGCGAAGTTAATCCGGATTACAAGGTTATTTTAACAAATACACCAAAACATAATTTTGACAAGTAACAAATGTAAAAATCACAACTATTTCACATTTTTTTTCACACCAAGTTTTCAAACGTCCTATGTATCTCATACTTAGAATATTTTGCAATTCTGACTAGTTGCATTTCAAAAACTCAAGAGTTAATGTGGGTAGCCACCACTGGACTGAGCAAAACAGCTGTGGAGCTCAACAGCTGCTAACTTGGTTTCTTCTGTGGCTTCACTGATGGGCTTACAGGTAACACAGATCGACTCAGCCTCAGCAGGTTGCTGGTTAGGGAAGACTTCGTTTTAATCCAGGGTACAGATATGGGTATCTTTTATGGCTACTGCTCACTGGCAATGTTATTTACTATTAACCCAGGCAAACTGAAACACCAATGCCCAAGTATTTGTGGCTTCATCACTGTTGTCCGTAAGAGTTCACGAAATTCTAGTTATTGGACACGGAGGGTCTATTCTTTCCTTTCCCCCAGAAGGACAGGAAATGGTCAGACATACCCATTGACACACATCCCACATGCCTGGGACATCCCATTCCAGTGGTTTATGAAAGGCACAGGCATGAGAAATGAGATGATTCGTTTTCATTATGCTGCAGCCATGGGTGAGACAGGTTGAAAGGTGACCTGCGCTTACCAGCATTACCTACCTCACAGGCCTACTGTGGTGACCAAGGGCAAGAACACACAGACAGCGCTTAGCAAACTGTGAAGACTACACAATTCTAGTTACAATTATTGACAAAGGACACCATCCTCACCTGAAAGAGCAGACAGAGGGGGAAAAAATAGCAACTTGAAACAGATGCTCAAGTGGGGAGGGGGAACCCCTGAAAATACATTCGTTGTTCTTGGTGGATTTTGATCCCCTGGAAGAGTACAAAAGTAGCCAGTAGCACCTTCCCTGGAAATCTTGGGAGACAATTAAAAAGCAAGCAAGACAGCTAGGAGCACAAAACTCCTCTCCAGGCTCCACCGCCCATCACCCACGGCCTTTCCTCCTCCCAAGTACTGTACAAACTCAAGACTGGTTCAAAACGCATTTCTCCTTCCCAGTGTTTAAATGTGGCCCGAAAAAGCTGCCCCCACCGGGGGTTCCCGCGACTACCCCCGGACTCCTGGCTCTCTCTAGGTTTCTCGCCGGCACAGATGCCACAGTGCCGGCACGCGTGGCGTGGAGCCTTCTCCAACCAAAACAGACAGGCTTGGCGAGCTGCTGAAGTCTCCCTCTACCTGTCCAACCGCCCGGTCACGCCTGCAGACTGCTCCGGCAGCTTGCATTTACGAGGTCCAGCGGGAGTCACCCACACAAAGGCTTCTTGTGCCTCTGCTCTAGCGAACTGGCAGCCAGGTCGCGGGGTACCGCACCGAGAAAGCGCGGGGAGGGCATCCCCTATCCCCAGAAACTGAGGCCCGAACACCGCCCCCCCCCCAGCTCTCAAACTCCACAAAAGGGACACCCTCACTCCCTGGCTTAAAGATAGGGCTTCCCTGAGCTTGTCACAAACCACACCCCAGGAAGGAACAACTCGGAGCAGGCACAGGACAGAGGGGCACACTCGCAGAAGTTTGCATTGTCCCCGCGCAGCTCGCAGGGAGGGCTGGACACCCCCTTCCGCAGCCCCAGCTCCCTCCGGCTCCGGGGCTGGAGGACGCCGGGGTGCCGAAGGCCCGCTCACCTCGAGTCCAGTCCACCACTTGTTTAGGGGTCCACTTGGTCACGGGTTCCATGGTAAACGGCTTCGTTTCCCGCTGGACTAGCGAGGTGGCGGTCAAGCGCTGGTCACCCCGTCAGGGCTGCATGGCCGCGGTCAGCGGGTCATCCTGGCCGGTCGCCCGCACACGGGACAGCTGTGTGGCTGCTCCTCCAGCTGCCAGCGTCCAGCTGCAGCTCGTCCTCCTCCTTCCCGGGCCGCCGCCGGACCCCGGCACAGCTGCGGCTCCCGGGCAAAAGCAGCTGCGAGTCGGCGCGGCTGCGACCCCAGAGCCCGGCTCCCCCGGACGGGGCGCTCTCCCAGCCCGGGACCCCTCGCCGGGCCCCCTCCTCTGCGCCCCGCGCTCTCCCGGGGACCCCGCTTCGCGCGCGCTGCACCCCTATGCTTCCCGCGCGGCCCCACCTTCTGCGCGACCGGCGGGAGGAGCGCAGAGCGTGCGCGCTCGGGCTGCAAAGTTCCAGCTCCGGCCTCGGCCGCCGAATAAAAGGGGGGGCGGGGCGGCCCCGAGCAGCCCGGGGAGGGGCGGCGCCGGCTCCGGTTACTTTCCCTCTTTCAGCCCGGCTGGCTCGCTCCGGGAGCGCCCGCCGCACTTTCCTTTTCAGGGGGCGGGCTGTGTGCACCCCGAGAGCCGGTTGGCTGGGGGGAGGCCCCGGTCCTGTTGGGAGCAGAACAGGCGCGCACACACTAGGACTAAAGCAGGGGCTGCCTGTTCTGTTTACTTCAAATGCAGTTAGTACTGTTTTGTGGTTCGGCCGTCCTCATTTTAAATTTCTTTTTTTTTTTTTTTTTTTTTTTTTTTTTTTTTTAATTTTATTTAAGGAGAAAAGAAAAAAAAAAGCAGGGAAAGGGTACATAATGGATTACATATTGTCATCTTAGAAATAATTGTTCAAGTCACAAAATTAAAGCTTGTAAAGTGGACATTCCATCAATGATACTGCAAACAGTTCTGTTCATTGATCCAATAAAACTCTGTGATATCATTTTCTATCTTATACACTTAAATATACATGCAGTTATATAGTTTAGAGCACTTTCTTTTCCTCTCTTTTGTACCATGACTATTACACATTTTGGGTTTCATTGCTCCCACGGTTCTTATTACTTTTTTGGAAGAGAGTAAAACCAAATGTGACATAACAGAACAGAATCGGTCAAGTCAAAAGGGTGGACATAATAGATAATGTAAAAACATAATACAGGTGATCAACAATGGTTACCATAATGTCTCCCGCTATCTCTAATAGAATTGCCTATATCATTAGTTATAATACAATTGAACAAAACAGTAAAGAATAAAACCGACAAAACCAAAACATTGGAGACATTGTAGGTCTTCAAAAGTAGCTAAAAGTCAGCAAGAATGGGCGTCATAATGAATCTCATTATCTTCACAGCTGATGCCTAAACTTTCGAACCTGATACTATCCAGCAAAACAGAATAGGGGAACATCAGTTAAAAACCAGATGGTGAGAGTAATACAGGGCTTTAAATCAAGGTAATGAAAAGTCAAAATGGGTTACTATAATATATCCTGCTATTTTTTTCCTTTAATTAAAAGGATAAAGATAAAAAAGTAAATAATGGAGTGGAGATTGAGATAAAAGAGGGCATAACAACGAAACAGTGCAGATCAAAACATAACCATTTAAGCAGAATAGTGTTTCACCACCAGATAATCCTAACCTAAAAGTAGTTACCATATTGTTTCTTTCTTTGAAATCCTTGAGTACAACTTCGTATACTGTAGCATTAAGTATATCAAAACAATGTAAAACCATTCAAGAGAATGACAGCATTACAGAGTATTTAGAATCGACTAACAGAAAATGAACAATGGTTTCTGTATAATCTCCTTGTCTTTAAGAGGTTTTTGCTTATACTATCGTACATAATAAAATCCAATAAGATACAGCCTATTTAGACCATTGGAGACAGAAGGACAAAAGCTAGATGAGACTTCAAAACAAGATGATACTAAATCAGTATTACCTATTAAGATGTCATTTTCTCCAAAATAGCTGTTCCTATCATCCAATCTTCTCTGCCTCATTTCTGTTAAGCTCTTTTTCTGTCAGTAGCTGTCAGTTTGTCTTCTTCATTTTGTTCTCTGCTCCATTTGTTGTGGCCTCCCCGCCACTATTTCTGGGTTCTTTGTATTTTTCTTTTTTTAGAATATCCTGCAATACTTTCTGTAGAGTTGAATTGGTGGTTGCAAATTCCCCCAGTTCCTCTTTATCCTGGAAGCACCTTGTTTTTCCATCAATTTCCAGGGACAGTTGTGCAGGATATCTCAATCTTGGCTGGAGATTATTATCTTTCAATGCTTGAATTATTTCCCCCCACGCTCTTCGTGATTTGATGGTTTGTGCAGAGAAATCTGCTGTAATTCTGATGGGTGTTCCCTTGTAAGTGGTCTGTTTCTTGTCTCTTACAGCTTTTAATATTCTGTTCTTGTATTGAATTTCTGGAATTTTTATTATTATATGCCTGGGTGTTGCTCTGTTTGGGTTGTAGGTAGCTGGGGTCCTGTATGCCTCATACATCTGAGTATCTTTACCTTTTGCTAAATTAGGAAAATTCTCCTGGATTATTTCTGTGAGTAGCTTTTGTAGTTCACTTGTTTGCATCCCTACTTCTTCTTTTATGTTCTTAATCCTTAAGTTATGGATCCTCTTATCATCTTCTTGTCTTTGTATTATTGCTGTTTGTTTCTTTGTTATTTTTAAGAAGTTTTTCATTTCATTCTCCCATATTACAAGTCTGCCCTCCAGTTCAGATAGTCTGTCCTTAGTTTCTTTCAAGCTGTTATGCCAGTCTTCGATAGACTTCTTAGTATCTTGGTAGTCCCTTTGAACCTGCTTCACGTATTCTATGCTTTCTCTGTTTTCTCCATCAAACAATTCTCCCCTTTTTTTCTGTTCTTCCATTCCACCACCTGTTTTTTCTTGGGTGGTGCTTAGCATTTCTCTAACTATTCTGCATACTTCTAGCTTCAGGTCGTTGATAACTTCATTCCTGAATTGGTCTATGAGGCTCTCTATATGGTGCCTTATGTGTATTGGTGCGGTGTCTGCTATTGCCTGTTTCTCAGAATTGGGGGCCGAGGAGCCTTTCTTGTTGCTGCCTCTTCCCATGCTGCCTCTTCTTCTCTGTTCCTTATATATGCAAGCTTATATAAGAGGCCCAGCTTCTCTCCCAGTCAGCCACAGCCTGATCGAATTGCACCAGTTAGGTGTTCCCGCTCACCGCTGCGCACCAGGGAGTTACGGACCAGGCAGCCTACGCGTCTCCCCTCCCGGCCACCGTCAGGCTCTGGGATCTGGGTTGGGACAGTCTACCAGGTCCGCCGGCAGCGTCACGCAGGCCAGGCACTTTTCACCAATCCCGCCCGAGAGGGGGATGTGTAGCTGGAGTCGCCACCGCGCCCTGCTCCCGCAGGACTGCTCGGGCCCATAAAGTCCTCTGCTGGAGTCAAACTGTGGTAGAGTGTCAGTTTCTCTCACTCACCTCACCATAAGTCAGTGCACGCCTCCCTGCCGTTCGCAGATTGCAGTTCTCAGAGCTTCTGCACGTCTCTCCCCTTGCCGAGCCGCTGTAGAGGCAGCCAGCCGCTGCGCGGCGGGAAACCCAAATCGCGGCTTACAATGGCGCGGTTCCAGCCTCCACACCGAGTCTTTTCTGTTCCTGTTTTAGCACCAGGACTGCATTCCAAGTTGGCTTCTCTCAGCCCAGTTCGTTCCTGAGTCAGCAGAGCATATCTCCACCTGCTTATGTCTCCTTAGTCCGCACCATTCCTGGCTTCTGAGCCGAGTCTTTCAGAGAGCCGCCGGTAGTTGCTGTTATCTGTCCGCCATGTTCTCCCGGAACCATTTTAAATTTCTTAAAGGGCAATGGTTTTATTTATGAAAGGGTGACAGGGTAACACATCGTCTTGTAACGCTGCTGCAATATTTCAACTTCTAAAATAACTCCTAACCGGTTGGCGGCTCTTTGCGTTATAGTTTCCCATATTGTAATACTCGTATCTGCAAAGTGAGTTAAGGCTCATTTGGATTACTTATTAACTCCGAGGGAAAAAAATTGTTTGCTAGCAAAAAAAAAAAAAAAAAAAAAAAAAAAAAAAAAAAAAAAAAAAGAGGTGAATGGGGCATGATGGCTTCTATGACTCCCAGAGAAAAGGACCTTTGCATTTGGCTCTTAATGATTCTTTCAATTAAGGTGATTAATTTACATTTGGCTACTGTTAACCCTTGGAGGGCAGAAACTGCTTGAGTTAGAGCTTTCTCTCCTCTACGCCCTACTGCCAACTAGCTCCCAGCATCTGGCGCCAGAGTAAGATTGCTATTTATTCACAAGTATCTGTAAATGCCTCCCCTGTGCCAGGCACTGCACTCATTCAATATTTGTTGAATTAGGATGATAGACTGGTTAGCACATGTGGGAAAGATGGCTAGCACCTAAGCATTTGTTGCGAGTGTAATTAGTGAGGTAATCAACCAGAAAAAAAAACATATAAAAGAAAGCAAAACAGTGTCAGACCTCATCCCGTGAGATTTATCTGTAAGACTAAAAAAACACAGCATCGCAAAGATACACAGCTTTCAAATACAGTGGCTTTTGTTTTGTTTTGTTTTGTTTTGTTTTGTTTTAGCAAATGTGATTGGCAGATCCAGAAATTTGGCAAAGGCAATGATAAATTCCTGGTAGAATAGTTATCCGACCAAAAAAAAAAAAAAAAACATGACCTTTGCAACCATCCCTTTTTAACCATTTTTATGGCAGTAAAAAAGACAAAGATCTTTGCTCACTGGCAAGTGTGACCAATCTTATCCACACCTTTAATCACAGCAATCACTATATGCTGAATCATCTGTGATTATGATTAGGTTGATTACAATAATTTATCTCCAAATCAAAACACTCCTGAGTATGAAAAGAGACACTATCAATAATTATGTTGGAGTAACATACCAGGTGATATGGTTCCTGTAACTGTAAAGAAAATTCAAGTGTTAATGATTTTGTCCGAGAACTCTATTTGATGTTTTCACAATATTTTCAAATTCATTTGCATTAGTTTTTACCAAACATTAGTTTTACCAAATTAAAAGCTAAAATTTCAGGGTCAAGAAAAATTTTACAAAATTTCATCCCATTAAAGTCAATACACTACTGTATCTGTAACTCAGTACATCATAGAGCATGGCCAAACAGGAAGGCCATGTTAAAATCTCTAACCCAAGACCAATTAACTCTAAATGAATTAGAGTTCTGTTTACCTTTCAAGTCCTGAATGCTAATTATTATTTAAATAAGACCTTTTACCTTAATTATAGCTCTTAGCATGTGAAAGTTTTAGGGAGACCTGACTTCCTTTCTGAAATACAAACTTGAAGACCATAGAAAGTCACTACTGGCAGATAATAAAGGTAAAGTTTTAGGTAAAAAGCTTTGTTTGGAAAGTAAACTGTATACAAAATGATCATTTA